TTTAAAAAATTTTTTTTTTTTGTTTTGAGAAACTAACAAAAAGAACGCATTTTCAACAATTTCAAAACAAAAACTCAAAATACAAAACTCAAATGAATTCAAAACTCAAAACACAAAACTGAAACACAAATTTCAAAAAAAAAAATAAAAATTAATTTTTTTTCTTTTTTTGGTGTTTTGAGGTGGTGTTGTGGTGATTCTGAAAATTTTAAAAAATTTTTTTTTTTTTTTTTTTTTTTTTCTCTCTCTTATTTTTTTTTTTTTTTAAATCGAGTGATTTGAGAACAAGTTAATATATATCGCTAGACATTGGAGTAAACTAATACAAACAAATCTTCAGAATGACCAGTTACTCTTAACAGAAGTGTCTTTTAGCAGGATTTCTAGTTGCTTGTCCGCATTCTCACTTTGTGACATTTTTTGGTCTTGTCCAGGAAAACATTACCTATTTTTGCGATCAACATGTTTTTAATGGTTTGCGTAGGTATAACTAGTTGTATTCGATTATTATACGAGGACGCCAAGATAGTACTGTATATTTCTCCCAGTGAAGTGAGGTTAAAAGTTCATGAGGTTAAAAGTTGGTTTTACTATATTTATAGATTATCCGCCTGCGCTCGCTTATTTTTTTGTGATCTTGCGTTGCGCCCAATTATGCATGGCACATAAGGGCTAAATGAGGTTATATTTCACGTTCTCGTAATGGCCGCTCGTTTTAAATTGAGACTCTTCGAAACAGATCTTGCTATGAAAAAGTTTAAAATGGTTGTCTTCACATTTTTTCTATTTTGGAACCAAATTTTGTCGAATTTGCTGGCACGGGGACTTGGATTCATATTTGGTTGGTTCTGGGATTTGAGAAGTCATGTTCTTTAGCTTGTTGTACGAGCTGATTAAGTACTCATGATTTGTGAAGCTTATTTGCTACGAGTGGGCTCCACAAAATTGTCTCTAATAAGCGAAAAATGTAGAACATAAAACTAAAAAAATGAAAGAAAAGGGGGAGAAAATCAAGTCTAAATGCAAGGAAAAGTAGTTTAATGTTGGCAAGACTTTTTTACACTGGAGAAAGGAAGTGTGAACCACCTCTCTGTGTCTTCACTAAGGATGTTGAAGTAAGTGCTCTTTCATGGAAGCTTACAAATTAATCCCGTTTTCTTGTTGCTGTTTATCATCGAGTTGATGGCTCTTGTGATTACAACATTTAATCTGTTGCATGAGAAACTAAGAAAGTAGTTAAAATGCCTGCTTCTGCGTGGTTAGTGCTATCTACATGAGAATTTTACCGTCCCCTCGGCAGCACCACCAACACAACTTGGATTAAAGGTTGAACCCCAACTTGAGGGCCCTCATTGTTCTGTCTCTAGAGCATTGTGAGGGAGGTAAATCACGGGATGTGTTCCAACAGGCCAGGGAACAAGAGCAATTGTATACTCACAACTTGGATTAAATTACACAATCAATCTTGTGTATCATATGAATGACCTCTGAACCTGTTGGATTGGTTTGAGTTAATTTGATTCTGGTTCGAACATGGCACGAGTTCTACACATTCGGATGATGGGTTTAGTAGGTTCGAATCATTTTGATAGCTAATAGATTTATAGTAGCAAATACATTAATTGAATGTTTTTCAATATCAATCAAAAGAAAATGTAATTTGTACAATCAAAAGTAGAGAGATAAATTGAAAGACCTCTTGGACTAATTAGGAGATTGCTTCTAATGCTTGCGTTACCGTTGGAAGAAACTTCTTAACAATTTAACATATTTTAAATTTAACTAACGTAATAAAATTATAAAATTAAACATGACACAGTAAAGTATAGTGTGATCATATAAAGTTATGATTTAAGTCTAATCTAGGATCAAAGGCGGCATGGCCCATCACATTTGTGAACNTGAATGCACTTAGGATAGGAGCTCCGAGCTTCAGCCACTTCGGGGTGAGGGCTTCGATAATTGACCTTTGTCATGATGGGACGAGCCTTGGCTAGTTTTCTGCGGGGTGTCATTCCACGTGGGATGCTATGTAGGCTTCACGTGGGAGCCTTGGTGGCAAGGCGTAACACACTGCACATGTAGTGTAACATTGTAGAAGAGTCATGATATGTGAACTTAACTAGAAGAAACAATTCTAAAGTATTTAATATCTTTTTATAACCGATTTAATTATAGCTCATCAATTATATTTATGCTGGACGTGGTGCATGTATGCAACATTACTCTTATTTTAACATTAAATTTCAAATTATTTGACGCGTAAAATCAAAAAAATGTCACTATTGAAGTCGAGAAGTAAAGGTTCTAAATAATAATATTATATTTTGGAGTGGTAACAAAAAATATTTTTTATTTCCACACGGGAAACAGAAAATCCAGACTTTTTCAATTGGACCGTCTGACGGGACCTCAATTTACTGTATGGAAGCTGGCCGACGTAGACATGTCAACAAAGTAAAATTTAATTTTTAATCCTTAACTTATTGACCTTATTTAATTTTGTCCTTCAACTTATTCCTCTTTTCATGTTCAATGGTGTTTGGCCTTTTCTTTTTCGTTTGTGTTTTCATTGTTTCCTATTTCTTTTAACTTTGACATTTAATCTAACTAGTTGGAATGTTTTTAATATTCTCTTTATTTATAAAGAGTATTTTATGCATACTAGAAAATATATTTAAATTAGATAGTAAAATCTTTTATTCACTTTAACAATAATCTCTGATTTGAATAATTTAAGAAGTTGAATATTGAAATTATAAATGCAATTATTATAAAATAAGAATAAAATGTGTGTTTTTGGAGAATCAACCTCGCTTTCTATTTTTAAAAATTAATCTTGTAAGCCCCCGTTTGGCCACCATTATTTCAAATTATAATGAGTGAACTTTTTATTTATTATTTTTTTTTATTGAAGAATGGGTGGTTGAAAAATAAGAAGAAGTTTTCGATTTATGTATAATATTATTTTATGGAAGATTGTGTGATTGAAAATAGAATAAAAAAAAGAAATTTAATTTAATGGAGGCCAAACGGAGGGCTTTTTTTAAGTATAAATTCTCCAAAATAGATTTGTATAGTAGAGATAAGTCAAAATGTATGATATAGCACCCTTTCTGAGCGAGCCTCCGTTGAGGGATGGAATATTTGATTCAAAATCGGACTCCAAGCAGCTATAGCTTTGAGAGTATTGTTTGTCTAGTTGAGCCGTTGATGTATCAGACTGAAAACAAGAAACGTCACCTAGAGTGGAAGCCTTCTTTTCATCATCAATTGTGTAGGGAGCTTATTTGAATGACACGCTTGAGATCCCAAACGGGCATTTCAAACCACCACCTCTATATAAACCAAGACTATGGACGGTGTCCCTCGTGATCGGTCTCAAAAGCAAGATGGGAATGCTTGTCTTGGGGTCATTCAAAGAATGGAATAATTGTTAGGTAACAAGCCATTTTCACTTACTTCTTACTTTGAAAGCCGTCCACTAAAGTTTTTGGAGTAGCTATAACAAGAGAGAAAATCTTTGGTAGAACAATTCTTCTTTGTACACTCGTGGAAGAATTGTGTATTTAAATTTTGACACATTGGACCTTGACATATTCAAATTATCATAGAATTTGAGTCGATTCCACCATCTACTTGTTTCTCTCTCTTAACATCTCAAATGTTTAGATGTCGTTATTTAAAGTTCGAGATATCATGATTCAAATAGTGAATCCTACGATGTGCGTATATAAGACTATCATGTCAAAATTTTTCTCTTAACGAAGGGATAACTCACTTTCATTAAAATTTAACTAATGAAATATCATGTTAAAATTTTCCTCTTAACGAAGGCATAACTCCCCTTCATTAAAATTTAACTAATGAAGTAAAATTATAAAATTAAACATGATGCACTAAAATATAGTGCGATCATATAAAATTATGATCCAAGTCTATACTAGTATTAAAGGTGGCATGGCCCAACACATTCGTGAACTACTTTTGTTCTACACGATTATAATTTTACAAATACATAATAAAAACATTACTAATATTAATTAAGGGCAAAATTTCGAGGGACAGAGGGTGGCCATATTTTATTCTTTATTATCATATGATAATGAAATTCATTTAACTATTAATTGCTATCGTATTAAGTTCTTCAACGGTCAAAACTATGCATAGCCTGAAACAAGACTAATGCTATATAATCCCAGTGCAGGCGACACTAAAATGGCATTCAATGATAAGTAGAATTAAATGAATAATTTAATTTCACATTTCATTTAACCTATCATCTAACGCCATTTAAATTGAGATTGTAACCCCAATGAGACTACATAACATTACTCATGAAACCATTTACGCTTGTTTTTCCATTTTTTTCTACTTTATTTATAATTTACTTATTTTTTGCTATATAAGTTCAAAGCTAAATTTATCTTTGCACACCAATTTAACAAACCACGGCTCCGATGACAATGAATAAAGTTATCTTTGCTCATGTAGAGAAGAGATGCGTCCAAATTGAAATGTTGAGTCTCAATTCAAGAGAAACTCATTCAAGATAAGTCTCACTTATAAACCAACGATTAAATACGTCATGTATAAATTAATATTGTAGAAAATTCATGATATGTGCACTTAATAGAAGAGGCAATTCCTAAATATTTAATTTCTTTTTATGACCAAGCTAATTATTTTATATGAGTCGTGTGCAATAGCTCATCAATTATATTTATGCTAGACTTTGTGCATGTATGCAACATTACTCTTGATGTAACATAAATTTCAAATTATTTGACATAAATTCGAAAAAATGTCATTGAAGTTGAGAAGCAAAAATGAAGATTCTAAATAATAATATTTTATTTTGCAGTGGCAACAAAAAAATATTTTCTATTTCCACACGGGAAATAAAATATCCGGACTTCTTCAATTGGACCGCCTGACGGGACCTTAATTTCCAGGATGGAAGCAGGACGACGTAGCATGTCAACAAAGCAAAATTGAATTTTTAATCCTTAACTTGTTGACCTTATTCAATTTTGTCCTTCAACTTATTCCTCTTTTCGAGATGCGAGGGTGTATGGCCTTTTCTTTTTCGTTGTTCCCTGTTTCTTTTAATTTGACATTTATTCTACCTGGTTGGATTTTTTTTATTTTTTATTTTTATATAATCTTTATTTATAAAGATCATTTTATTCATTATAGATAGTAATTTTTTTTTATTCACTTTAACAACAATCTCAATTTTGATTATTCATTTTACTTTTTCAAGTAACATTTATCGACATCTCCTAATATTTATTTAACATCTTGTTTGATATGTCAATGATCAACCAATTCAAATATGATTTGAAAATTAAGTTCACAATCGAAACTTATAGTTTATTAAATGCAATTGTTATAAAGTAAGAAAAACTGTGTGTTTTTAGATAATCATCTTCACCTTCTATTTTAAAAGATTATTCTTTTAACTTATTTTTAAGCATCGATTATCTAAAACAGCATAATATATTTGAAATCTTTTAGAGATGCTCGGGAAAAAATTCTTTAATAGAACAGTCCTTTATGCAGCCATGAAAGAAATCACTATTTTCTCACTCTTTAACACCTGAAATATCGGGATGTCATGATTTTAGTGATTTAGAATCCAAAGTATCACGATTTAAATGACAAATCCTACAACGTGTACATATAAAGACTATCATATTAATTTTTTTTTCTCTTAATAAAGGCATAACTCCCTTTTAATTAAAATATTGACATTTTAAAACATTAATAGCTTGTATGGTTAAAAATGCATTTTGGAACAGTAAATAATGAAAAATGTGTGGTTAAAAAATAAGAAAAAATTTTGACTTTGTAATATTATTTTATTGAAAATTATGTGATTGAAAAGAAGGAAAAAATGTATTTAAAAATAATGGGGATCAAAACAAGAGCTAAATGAACGGAATCCATGCCATAGGAAACAAAAAATGACCTAAGGATTAATGCGGTTCAATTTTGACAACTATTTTCAAACCAAATCGTTTAAAACGATTCCAAACCAAACCGATCATTTTTGCGGTTTGATTTTGTTTCAAACTACTTTTTTAACGACATAAAAATAATATCCTTCAATAATAAATAAATAAATTTGTCTACAATCTCAATATAAACTAAAATATTCTGAACATAAAAGTTACAACATTAATGTATGTCTCAATACAAGCTTAAAATAAATAATACAAAGTTTCAACCAAAAAATTTAGACCGTGGTTGGTTTGCTGTTTTCGGGCCATTTTCCATTTTTCGTTTTCGAAAACGCATTTTCGAAAACGAGTTAAAATTTATAACTGAAAACGCAAAACGACTTTTTATCATTTTTAGCGTTTTCAGTCATAAATATCCAAAACGCTCAAAACGCGGAAAACGAGCCATTTTCGGGAAAAACTAAAATCGTTTTGAAACCGAAAAAGGAAAAAGGAAAACTAAATCAACCGCACCCTTAACTTTTCAGAATTTATTTTTGAGTGAACAAGAAAATTATTATCATAAATAACATTTTCTTCATGGTGTCAATAAAAGCAAACTATCAAGTAAATTTGTTGAAATATACATTGAACTAATACATCTTAAGTAAAAATATAAGTAATTCCTCTTAAATTTGATGAACGATTTTGTTTGGTTCAATTTCAAATAGAAACATTGATAGGTTCACTGGATCCGAAACAACGATTTCAAAATCGTAGTTTCAATTTGACTTGACGATTGAAATTTTTTTTCCACCCTAAATAATGCTAGAAAACTGAAGGGTATTGTCCCAAAAAAAAAATAAAAATAAAAAATGGTAAGTTAGAGCTAAATTACAATAAGGCAAATATATCAAGGACCATTTGTGCAATTTTCCTATCACCAAATCTCATGCCTATTTACGGGGAAAACTTCGTTAAGAAGAAAAATCCCCACACGCTTATTTCATAACACACGCATACATATGAATATATTCAGACACGCATAAATACAGTCCAGTCCTTTACCTTCATCATCAACAAAGGTGCAAACGAGCAAGGCTCGTTTGTACTCTTCTACCCTTCTTTCTGCTGCACACAGTGCTATACACAGAACACTTTCATTGAAGAAACAGATTTGATAACTGAGACATGGGAAGGAAATTAGATGCTTTACTTGGAAAGGGCTTCAAAACATCAAAATTCAAAGCCACATTGAACCTCGCCTTATCCCGCCTTTCCGTGCTTAAGAACCAGCGCCATGCTCGCTGCTCGGTTGCCCGCTCCGATGTGGTGGAGTTCCTTAATCTTGGCCACCATGATAGAGCTCTTCTAAGGGTACTTTTTCTAACTTCCAAAGACTTTATCTGTATGTAGTTGAACTTGAATAGAAGAGATTTATTCTGTTTAAAGGCTTCACTATTACGCTGTAATATGCTGTTTTTTCCCAGATGATTTGTTATTACTTTTTTGATTAATGGTTTTCAGGTTGAGCAAGTATTAAAAGAGCAAAATATGTTGGATGTTTTTGCTGTTATGGAGGGCTACTGCAATCTGTTGATAGAGAGAATTAACCTCATAGAACAAGAAAAGTTGGTTTCTTATTCCATGTTTTCTTTTTTAATCTTTTGAGTTTTTTCCTAATAGGAATTTTAATTTAATTAATTAATTAATTAATTTATTTTTTGGTTCTGTGTTTTAGAGTATGTCCTGATGAATTGAAGGAAGCTGCGTCAAGCTTGATTTATGCCACTACAAGATGTGGGGAATTCCCAGAACTTCAAGAGATTCGTGCAATTCTCATATCACGATATGGGAAAGAATTTGCAGCTCGCGCTGTTGAATTGCGTAACAATTGTGGAGTTAATCTTCAGGTTGGCAACTATATCATATACTTAAGAGAATGATTAATAAGATGTTAATTTTCTAATATTTATATAATTATGAGCAGATTATACAAAAGCTGTCAACTAGAACTCCAAGCTTGGAGAACAAAATGAAGGTTGTTAAGGAGATCGCTTCAGAGTATAACATTGTTCTTCAAATTGAGGAGACTCCATCAGCCACTGGAGTGGTATGCAATTTATATTAGGGAAATGTCTATTCGTTTTTCGATCATTTATGAATATTAAATAATGATACATGTTTGTTTCTAATTTCAGGAAATTCTGGATTCAGAGCAGAAAAACCATTCCACCTTGTCAGGAGTTTCTAATCCAGGAGAAAATAGGGTTGTACAGCCTGAAAATATAGAAAGGGTCGAAGATTTATCAGTTCCAGTAAATATGAGGAAGAAATACAGGGATGTGGCTGATGCAGCCCAAGCAGCTTTTGAGTCAGCAGCTTATGCTGCAGAAGCTGCAAGAGCAGCGGTTGAACTGTCTCGGTCGGGATCAACTGATCCTGATGACCCAAGTAGTCCAAACCTCCAACCGAGGAAAGTATCACCAAAGCTTGAATTTGTGAAATCTAAACTTCAAACCAATGAGGATGAACAAGTTGAACTGAAATATGAGAAAATCCATTCAGTTCAGAACTATGATTTGGAAAATCAAGATGAAAGTTTACGTATGGAGCAGTTTAAGCAGAGAGACGGAACACAGGTTAGCAAATCACCATCCGTTTCTAGTTTGGATTCAATAGATGACAATGTTAAGGAAACTAACATGTCATCTGATGAAAAGATTCAGACACAGACATTGGAGACGGAGATAGTTTTTGATGAAAGTGATGATGAAAATGAACCTGAAAGCATAGCACGATCGCCGAAGGCTTATAACTTTGATTCCAACATTCAAGACAAGATACCAGAAGGGAGCAGCAGAGATCCTCAATATTCATCTCAAAAGTTTTTTCCTTTTAGATCTCAAACTCGAATGGAAATGGAGTCGAGGCCTGAAAATTCTCGGGAAAGCTTTGTTGATGAAATAAGGGGCCAGGGTGTAGAACATTTGAAAATTAAAAAGAGTCCAATTTCTGTAAGGACCAGACGCACATATGGTCGGTGACAGCAGATTGTAATACAAACAGATTTTTTGAGCTTTCCTGTATTAGTATATGCCATCCTGCGAATTGTTTCTGTTATATGATCATAAGGTTTCTCAAATTCTATGTAATGTTTGCTCGGTTGCACTCCCGAGTTCATAATTTCCATATGTGAAGCATATAATTATTCAATTTCTTGTTAGATTTCGATTTTAATCTAAATAGTCCTGTTTATGTGCATTTGTCAACAATGAAAATGAAAAAAAGAACTGACATCTATATTCTCTGCCTGGCAACAGCAATTATCTGAGATTTTCTAAACAGGCTCGAAAATCCAAGGTAAATAGAAAAGGGATGAAAGAAGATAATTTTCGCCTGTAAGAGGCTCAAAAGGAAGGTCTGGGAAAGCAAACATTCATCGTGTTTCAAGAGTCTAAACTTTTATACATATAAACACAAGCAACTGCATATACCTTAGAAATGATGAACACCGATTTTGACTGTTTTGACTAAATTGTAAGAGTAGCTATAGAAGGTCATTGGCTTCGGGATCGCTTCTTGCCATGTTGCACTAGATCACCAAAAGATTGCAAACTAACACCAACATCTTCATCATACTCAATCCCAAGTTCCTCCTGTAGATATAAAACTACTTGTTTCAAAAAAGCATAAAGATGGAGAAAAATTGAAATGCATAGGACAGGAGTTAAAGGAACACCTTAAATTCTTTAAGATTCTTGGGGGAGTTCTCAGTAATTGCATCCCATATATCTTTGAACATCCTCTTCCGTCTTCTCCATTGATTCATTGTATCCATATACATCTTCTCCACAGCTTGTCTCTCTTCTGGGCTCACCAGAGTAACTCCCTCCCTTAATTTAATCAACTTTTCCTCCATTTGCTTGACCTGTGAAAAATTACAATGCAATTAAAATTTATTTCTGTCATCCAGCAGAGAACACGTTAATTTGATCTCCACATCAACTACCTCTTTCCCCAGCTTGACTTGTTTTGCTTGCACCTCCTCCAATGTCAAATTTGATTGCAACGCTTTAATCTCTGCAATCACCATGCATGCATACCAGATTAGATAATGGAACCATCCCTGGGTCTCAAAATATCACATCTTGTCAAAGTAACAAGATCACTCAACAACCCAAAGCTACACCATATTTACAATAAAGAGCAGAAAAGATAGACAGTGACTCCACACAGGCAGCCTGTATTTTGCACTTCTTTCACTACCAGAACTTTGAGAATGCACTGTATTCATGCCTTTTTTGAACATATCCCATTATAAGGCCAATTCCAAGGGGCTACCATGTAACTACAGTCTCATGGAACTTAACAACATTATGCAGACTGCAGTAAGCTGTACCATGAACTGCATGAATTTAACAATTAATTATTAATTTTCAGAAACAAATACAAATGATGTACAGGAGAAAATATATATAACCTCCTTCAACCCCAGCACTAGCTTTCTTTTGTTCAACAAGCTGTTCTTGCAGTTTGGTATTCTCTTCTTTCATCTGATTAAGCTCTTCAGTGTTTGGAATGTCAAACTGGTCTTGCCTAGCTAGGTATATTTTCTGCTTGCCATACTCCTTGAACGATATTTTCCCACTGTCAGCCAGATTATCCAAAGCTTTTTGTACTGCAGCCTTTTTGAGATTAAACTTTTGCAGGGAATCAGCCACATTCTGGGAATTCAATGGCTTATTTTGCTGCCAAAAGAATAAAAATCAAGAAGAAGATAGTGAAAAAGTCCCCAAGTAATTGAAAGTTGAAACAGAGAACACAACTATTTTCAATAATCATGTCAACAAAAATATTCCCCATATGAGTAACTATACAAATATTCCACATGGCGTTAACTTAGGAGAAATAAAATTAAGAATAGAAGAAATTATTTCTCGAGGCAATAAGAGCAAAAAACTCAATGTAGGTGACGCGCTTTAACGCTTTTACTAATCAAATTTCTTTCAGTTTATATTACCAAAAGTAATTTGAATTTACAACAGTAGGTAAATAATTGACCACAAGTTAATCAAACTCTTTTTTTTTTTTTTTTTCTCAAGAGAAAGTTCAATTCTCTTTGTGAAGTTTGACAAGTGTGAAAATAAGAGAAGAAAAACATAGATGTTGGGCTAAAAAAGTTTCGTGGTTCCCAAATGTTTTAAGTAATGAAAATCCAGAATTTAATGGAAATCAAACCCTTACTGCACATCCCAAAATAAACTGGCAGAAACTAACAATATGAGATTAAAAATAAAAAGCGACAGAAAATTTTGTAAAGCAAACGCAGAACTACAACATTATAGAAATGATAAAAAATGGATAAAATTATACCTCATTGACGAATTTGAGCACGATTCCTGAAAATAAATATACGGAAATAAATCAATAGTTGAATACAGGGTTTGATTCAAATAAATGTAATTATAAACTGAAGAACAGTATTTCGATAGCGCACATGCATATTTACGTAAATACGTGTATATATTACCTTCGGAGGTGTCGGATTTGGGAGCCATTGATCGGAGACTGTAAAGCGCGGGAAAGAATTTGCAGAGAGATTTTTCCACATTTGGGTGGAAAAGGTTGGAGATATATAAGCGTAAAGCGTCGGAATGAACCCTTGCCTTACTAAGAGAGGTCACCCAACTTTGAACAAATTTTCTTTTCAGTCACAAACTATTTTTTCGGAAACTCACACAAGGTTTCATTTTCATTTTTCAATACGGCTCCAATCATGCAAAAATCACGTTTTTCAATTTGTAAAAATTTTGTTTATGGGTTAAAATATATTTAAAAAGCAGAACTTTTGAGCTAAGAATTACAAATTTATATCGCTTTTCAGTCAAAAATTGAAAGTGAGAAATGTAATGAATATATTTTTGTTACATAGGAAAGTGTTATACTGATCAAATTGAAACAAAATTGAAATTTGACGTATTGACAAAGGAAATTGAGCGACTTTAATGAAATTCTCAAGAAAGCACCTCATCTTCAGATTGGCTGCGGTTCTAATGATTTATTCCTTTCCTTTTGCTAATTTCTTTTGCGACTTTAGTGAAACTGGATAGGACTGCATGGGAAATCACTGGAAACAACTATACCGCACTACAATGTTTAAATGAAGAATGAGTCCAATTCTACATTTTCGGTGTACATAGCTCCCGTTTGGCCCCCATTTTCGAAAAATGAGAATGAGTAGAATAATATTTTTTTGAAAAATGAGCGGCTGAAAAAGAATGAAAAGTTTTCGATTTACGTATAATATTATTTTATGGAAGATTGTGTGGTTGAAAATATGAAAGAAAAAAATGGAATGTAATGTAATGGAATTTCATGGGGACCAAACGAGGGCATAATCCATTATCCCCTCCTCACATGGAGGGAACAAAAGCATAATAAATTATATGAGGCACTTCTCATTGTGAGGAGTGTAAATGATTATATAAACAAGAAGTGTACCAGTAGCATAGCCCATGAATGAATAACGACTTGCCACGTAGGCCAAATCTCCTAATCACCCAATCCGTCGGCCAACTATATTAATTGCACCTTTTAATGTCATCGTTGGGAAAAGTTTTGCGGCTTCCGCGGGTGAAAGATTAGAGAAATGTTGTCGGCTTCTCTGATATTATGCAATGTCGATTATGCTTTGGTACTTAATTTCGCTTCATTCAAGAGGTGATGAGTTTTAATTTAAACTCAAGACCTCAACATCAGGTTTTGCTCTGGGAAAGAACAAAAGGAGTTGCATTTTTCATCGAAAACAAGAAAAAATGTGGTCTATATAATTGTTACGAGACTTGCCAGAAATTCCCTTCCGTTGGACCACCACCAATACCGCCACAGGCTGCTGCGATAGTTCAGTTTCTAAGTGGGATGATAATATAAGAAAAATAGTTCAAGCTGTTCTGTGGGTTGCGGACTGGGCGTGTTTTTGAAATGACCACATCAAAATATTCTAGAGAAAATTTCATAGAATGTCTAATTTCACCTAGTCATTTGCAAAAATATCCATTTTCAAATTATTTAGACAAAAATACCCTTGTTAGGAAATTCTATTTCCAGCCCAAGACTCATGTTCATTTCCCTCTAAATTAACCCCAATTTCATAACCCTCAAATTCCAAATCAATTACATTTACTTGCTGTGAAATCTGAACGAGCGATTGGGAGGGATCTGGGGCGATTTTGTGGCTGAAGGAGAAGGAAGGGACCGCCGGCCGACAATTGGGGATTGGGCGAAGCTGAAGGGAAGGGAACGACAGGTCGGTAGCATAACAACGTTTTCTGTAGAATGTGAGCCATTTCTCCTCTCTCTCTCTCTTTCTTTTTTTTTGGTTATGTTTTTGTTTTATGCCACTGCATCCATGATTTATCATCTATGTTATGTGATTTGTGGATTGTGAATGTTGAAAAATTTGAATGTTTAGTTTGAGTTGATTGTTGACTTGGACTGTTCACTGTTGCGATGTTGTCTGTTACCTGTTGGAACTTGGAAGTACTTGGAAATTGGGTTTAGCCGTTTGGGTCACTTTGAAAAAATATTTGATTTTTGGGTGTTCTTCTAAGTCAAGATCTGCTGTTGTTGGGTTTATTTGTATTTCAAGAAAATCACATGGTGATGAGGCGACAATAATGAATAATCCCAATAACTTCCCAAACCTTGAGACAAAAAATGACAGTATTCTTAGAGAGTTCCGCATTCAGATCAGAAGCCATATTTAGGTTGTTAAACAACCTGCAGGAATTTGTAAAAACCCTATTTCATCTTATTTCATTTCAAACTCTTAAATGAATCAGGTCAAGATATGTATAAGATCCATTTGTAAAAACCCTATTTCATCTTATTTCATTTCAAACTCCTAAATGAATTAGCATCAAGATATGTATAAGATCCATTTGTAAAAACCCTATTTCAGATCTCATATCATTAAGTCACATGATTAAGCCACAGGAAAAAGACCTATAATTAATTGCGCTCTGTAATAAAATGAAGAAATCTCATTTACATATATATTGAATAACTTTTAATATTATTTAATCAAATTTTAATAAACGTCTGGGCTATTATGATTGTTGATTGTTGATGGTTAATGGAAAATGTCAACCTCCGCCCTAACTGGACTTTGGTGCTGGATTTGCCACTGAGCAGGGTATAAGGTTTTAGAACTACAATAACATGAACTATTTTAAAATGTTTTGGTATTAATCGAGGTTTGTTTTAATTTCAACAATTAAAACAGCTTAGTTTAGATATGGTATTTTATCAAACTTTTGTATTGTAAAAATCATTTTTCTTTTACTGCATTATAAACAAGAATGCTATATTTGATTTCGTTTGTATGTTCTCATACTATTTGTTAAAGTATTGTTTTCATTTGTTTTGATTTGTAGATGATTATAACACACTGATATAAAATTTCGGAGGAAAAACATGAGCCCATGTGTCGCAGGTGAGCAACACAAAATACATATCAGTTGTCCTCAACAAATTGGATCCACAACAAAAGCGTCAGTTGGAGGAGAGTTGTATAGGACATGTTGCAATGTTACCGGAGCTGAAACTATCCTCTGAATTAATTCATGAAATGGTAAACAGATCGGTGGTTTGCCGAAAGCGGTTTGAGGCTTGGTTTAAGGTAAACAAAGGTTTGCACGATTTGGACTGTCGGAGTTCGCACTAATTACTGGCTTGAAGTACGGTCCAGTGCCTAAAGGTACCGAAGTTGACAAAATCCTAGAAAAAATCGGTCTATAGGATAAAATGTTTGCTAATATGGATCGGATAACTTGTAGCGACCTGGAGAAAGTTTTTTTGAAATGTACCAATCGTAACGATCGTTACAAGCTTGGGTTGGTACTAATTATTGAAGAGGTATTTAATTCAAGAGATCGAAATATAGGAATACATTCGACAACTCTTTCCATCATTGACGACTTGGATTTCTTCAATGCCTACCCATGAGGGATGATATGTTTTCAACTTCTCATCAAATCACTGCTACGTGGATGGGGAAGAAAGACGGACATAGCAAAAGTGAACGATTGTGATAGGATGACTTACACATTGTACGGATTCCCTCTTGCTGTCCAGGTATACATCTATTTTGGTTCATTTTAGTTCTTTTAATCGCACATATTTATTTACATCCAAATATGGATATTACCGTTATAAATGTCATGCAAATTTGGGCGTACGAGGCAATCCCAGAGTTGGGAGCTCAATTCTCGAGTAAGATGTGTGACGATGTCTCGAGGATGTTGCGGTGGTCTGGCATGAAACAACCTCATTCCCGAACATATTCAGATTTTTTTGAAAAGACAGATGTAAGCAATTTACATAAGTAATTGCCTTACACTTTCGCAATATATAATATTTCATTTGGCCTATTTTTCCTTCCCCTGTGGTGCACTCGTGGGCAACGCTGCACGCAATTGCTGCAGAAGAATTGTAGTCGTACATCGTCGATCTAGTTTCCGTTGGAAGACGTAGCTGGCCCCATTCTAGATGGTCTTGTTGCTCAATCAATAGAAATACGAGCTTGTCCAGTTGAAGATGATGTCATACAGAACGATGACAACAACCATCAACCAAATAAATCCCAAAGAGGCAACAAAGGTGGACCTCATCATCGAGATTTGTATCACGTTGAAGGCAGAGAAGAAGAGCATGGGGATCTGATCATTGAAAGCATGTGTCATTAGATGAGATAAGAGATATTTTGAAAGAACAACGGGAGACATTTGAGAGCAAGATGGGCGATTTGAAGGAAGAGATGAACACAAGATTCGCTAGTTTCCAAAATGATTTGGGAGGTCATGTGTGTGGTTTGATAAATCATGTCACCGATGAGATCAATGTGCTTCGACGAAGGTTTGATGAAGTTGCTATAGAAATTGGGCAACACAATGTTGCTGCTGAGTATGGTGGATTTGGTCATGACGATCGCGGTGGAGACGAGCCCCGACATGATGATTTGATTCCCAATATTTCTGCGGATAGGCAGGATGTCGGAGAGGCAACCGAACCAGTTGTTTGTAATATCCCTGATGTGTCCATAACGTCAGGAGGTGGGGTTGGAATACTTGAGTCAGTATATGTTGCTTGTGATATTGTGAAAGAGGCACAGCCATTGTACCTACAGTTGGTGTGACCGTTGATGATCAGCTGGTTCATGATAGCGTCGTTTTTGGACCTTCAATGGCAGCTGATCCAACTACACGTAGACCTCGATCGTTGAGGCTGAAAAAGGCTAGTGCGAACACAAAGACGCCATACACCCGATCTGGTCGCAAGAGGGGTAAGAGGGATGCGTAGTCTATGTATTTTGGTTGACGGCACATAATGGTGATTGGATATGAACTTCAGGTTGATTCAAATTTAGAGGTTCACATATTTTGATTTATATGGTGATTTTTCAATGTGTATTTTGGTTTATGTCGTGGTACGTAAAATATATTTTGGTTTGCACAGTGGTTTGCATATTTTTGTTTATATGGTGGTATATAATATTTTGTGGATGTAAACTTGTGGTTTATATGTTAGTGGCATGTTCGGAAGGTT